TCAAAAGGCTTCCTCTGAGAAATGTACACAATGCAATATACATTACCTTTGTAAGTATGGTAACTGGCATACATGTACACGCATTACATGTACAGTGTAGGAATACGTGCATGTGCAAGTACCCGCCGGTACCCTGCAGTGCATCATGTACATGGCCTTGGTGGTTGACATCACAGTGAAGTGCATTCTTAATAACGACAACAAAATGACTGCAGTTGAAAAGTCACTTTATCAACGGTCATCAATGTCACAACACAGCAGCCGACTCAGTGGGCACCGTCTGCGGGAAACCAGCCAATAAACCCGGGCAAGACAAAATGAAACAAAAGGAGCATCTTCACTTCTGTTTAAAATCACCCCAAATGTAATTAGTGAGCTTTGGAACCGGAGAGGAGACAGAAAGGAACATACAACAGAATGGGAGGGGGGGTAGGCATGGATATGAGAGAGATGCCAAAGACTGAGCTTGCCAGCACAGTGAACATGGCCGACAGTGTGTATGTGCACAGACTTGAACATGCCGGCCTGTGCTGGCATCGACAGAAACACAGCTGGCACAACGTGCCAAAAGTAATCACCGCTTGGGTTGCGTGACAACTTTCAAGAGCGCCAAAACTTGGAAGGCCTTGTACGGAGAGAGAAGTTATGCTGTAGGTACATGTCAGGCAGGCTTTGTCAAAGCAAATGTCAGGGATGATCATTACAACGGGTAGGTACAAATTGAAAGGCCAACGACTGACCTTATCGCTAAACCCATTTGCACTGCAATGATGCAAAGAAAGTAAGAAGACTTTCAAGCTTTAAGCACAGTAAGTGTAATGAATAATCTGAGTGCAGACCTTCGGTAGCTGACTAGACTCTTAATAAAAGCATTTCCAGCACTGAGCAGGTATCCCAACCAACAGTCAGACATGTAAGTAGCGATCATTTAGAAGAGCCCAATTCTCCTCAAGGTGTCATGTCTCTGAGAATGCTAATTTCCCTCCCCCTCCCCTAATGCCAACGGGTCAAAGCCCACATTGTAACCAGTGACACAGTGCTGAAAGAAGAAACCCCAAGGCTGCTGATTGGTTGATACATGCAGGTCTGAGCCACCGCAGCAGATTTCCAATGCAATTCTCAAAAGAAGTTTTAACCATGGCAGGTGTTTTGGGTGGGTTTTTTCCCTCAGTATTGAACCCCTATCCTCTCCCCCCCAACAACATCAGCACCGAGTGATAGCGAAATGTTCTGTTGGGTTTTAAGTGTGATGAATCTGTTTAACCTCACTTGGCAACGGGAAGAGTTTGTCACCAGGAGACTGCTCTGACAATTTCAAGATGCATGATGTTTTCTCCACCTCATGATCAGCCTACCAAAGGTACTGAACAAGCAGCATACACCTGTGACTGGCCAAAACATGACGTCAATGAGATAGTTATCAAGTACACATAGAGTCCATATCAAACCTCCAAATGCATGGAGACCTACATTTACGTATACAGTGTATACTAATGTACAAAGACCACTCTCATTTTGCCTACTTGTCTGGGCAGCCAAAATTTGCGACGATATCACCTTTTGGTTGGTATTGGATTTTACCTCCCATTATTTCAAAATGGACAATTGTCCCATTGATTTCAAAACAGGGTCGTATTTTCATTTAGTTTGAGTGTATTATGATGTGGAATTCTAATAGCTGCGTGGGATTGTTGACACTTTGGGATTTTTTTTTTCCTTCTGCACCAACTACTAACCATAGTTTTAGCAGCCACTTGTGGGAAAAACATGAAAGAGCAGACCCTATATATCTGACATAGCCCACTGAACCCTGAAGGATATGAAGATGAGAATGAAAATCGTTTGAAGAGTTTACAACGAAATCCTACAGCAATCTAAACAGTGTACCCTGAGAGCAAAGTCATCAATTAACTTCTTCAATCCAACCTGTCCCAACACACATTGCAAATGGCCAGATCAGACAACACTAAAAATAACATGTACTGGTATGGTTAGGGCAGTTTTCAATACTTGGTTTCGATTCTTTATCTCAAGTTTTGTCTCTGAAATCCACCCTTAAAGTCATGTTAACAGTGTTCAATTTAACAGAAATACTTCCACCTGTGGCTCTTGTGGCATTACCGGTATCTACCTCACAAGCACACTGAACATATTCATGAGCTAATAACTTCAAAGTCAGGGGGTAAAAACAGAAGATGCTGGAAATTTGAAATTCATTTCGATCAGGTGTTCTTCTGATGTGGCCTTTTTTAAACTTTTAACACGTGGTGTACGAACCAGTCTTCAAAAGGCGATGAACTGTATGTTGATAATTTCTGTAAATTTGTATCCATATAAGCCAACACTGTCTATTCAAAGTTGTTTTCACATGCACATTTATTCACATACAAGTACATCCATATACATGTACATGCCAATTGATGTTACCTCTGCCCTCATGACGGCCTACCGGTACCTAGCCTACATGTACATGTGAGCCCACACTTGACTTGTGAAAGTGAAAGATACTACCATTCATACATGTAGAGGCCACAAAAGCACCTGTTGTGTGTCCACGGTTACGTGGTGGATGGCAGCACAAATGTACAAATATACAATACATGTACATGTACAAATATCTTCCACAACTAAACATTCCTATAAATTTATGATTAAATCATCACCTGTGCAATTTTCTCAAATTTGATGCCACAAACTCACAAAAACCCCAAAAAACAACTGCTAGTGTAAAGGATACAATACCAAATCGTATTCATGTACATGCAGGGTGTACATTTCAGGAAATGTCGGAAACTTTAGAGCCTAGTTGTTTTTTCTTTCCTGGTACAAGTAAATTACCACCCAAAATGCTGTTACAAGAATCTCTCAGATTTCACGTGATAAAGGAACAAAGTCTCCTTAAATTTGTCAAATATCTGGCATTCAAAATATGTTCAATTTTCAGTTTACAATGGCACAACACACACGTATATAAAATCTGTGTTTTCTTAATTGCAAACTCGAAAACTGTATCAAAATTTGATTACTGTGTCAGCACAGCATGCCACTATCAAGAAGGGTCAACCCTGTAGTTCTTTCAAAATTCACGATATACCCCCTCCACTTCAACAACACGATTGATTGTGACAATGTATACTTAACTTGGGTGTGTAATCTTCGGGACCAAACCCGGTTTATAGAACTGTACAATGTAAACATACCATGCAACAATGGGCAAAGGTAAGGCCTGTTCAAGTGTAGTGTGCCCCAAGTATTAAGCAGGCTGTGCACACAGAGCAAGCCCATTTGAGGGAAACACCCTCCATTGTCTGGCTCAGCAGAGTCAGTTTTGAACTGCTTAACCAACGGCCATTTTCAATGTCTCAGGAATTCTTCCAGATCTTGGACGTTAAATCTGGACGCATCTCTTAAAACATTTTAAAACATGGCCATTTTTATACCAAGAAAGCTCAATTTGTTTTAGATGTGGATCGAGTTTGTTACTCTGTACAAGCTTTTGGTCGCATGTTTGATGCTGGTTTACTGTGGAATGTTGATTCCCAAGTTGGTTGAGAAATTCTCATGTACAATTCCATCCATGTTGAGAACAAGGGATAAAGGGATGAAATATCAGTTTCTATTAAAAAAAAATCGGTGAAATTTTAGTCAGGATTTGACTATTCCGAATATTGAATGAAAATCATACTGCTCAGGAAAACAAAGGCTGCTTCAACTTCATTCTTAAATCTTAAGAACCTCCTTTGTAGACGTATCAGATAATTTCAGGGGGGTAATTACATTCAATTACTTCCCCTGATGCGTATTTATAAGCAAGTAGTGCTTATTTCATTAATCATTTATTTTGCGACTATCGGGGAAAGTACTGCAGGCTGCTCACTCGCTGAGAGTTTTCACAAGCCACTCATGGTTCCTACAAACTGCAATTAGCATTTTAGGTGACAATCTAAATTCAATGAAGGTGTAAACTGACACTGAAGTTTCAAACAAATATACAAAGTCTTTTGTATTTTGACAGTCGCCAAGAAAACAATTTATTACTTCTGCCTTCTAAGTATTTAGGCTTCCCTTATTCCTCTTTGGAGTAGTGTCAAACAGCCTTCATCTCAAGACCAGCAATTCTGAATTTCTGGCGGGGGAATTACTTCCCTTCAGAGCAAATTGTCAGTTTCAGTTTGGTTTTACACAAACCCTGGAGTCCATCCTGTTGATATCCGGTTAAGATTTGCTTCATAACAAACATTTCAAAACAAGCAAGGCCTCTAGGTAAATACAAAGCAATACATGTACTTCAATATTGATGTTCACACCACCAATTAATTTCATGTGTTCAACACTGAACGGAAACGGTCGAGGCCTTCGCAACACTTCATGCAACTGCGACGAGTAAACGGAGGCAAAGCAAATTGGCTGTTATGTCCATTAAGTCTCATTTTACTTATTAATCAGACCCCAAAACGACTTCATCATGTTGTACTGTACATGCTACAGGAAACCCATGAGACCCATGACAAAGCTGCACTTGAAAATGCCTGCTCAGACACACCCCAGTGAGCTTTCACATGCACTAGTACCCGTACAGGCACTGCTGCTGGCTTCATCGAGATAAAGGTCAGTTCACACTGTTTACAACTGCCCAACATCCATGACCTTTCAACTTGAACTTGCTGAAAAGCACAGCACGACTGTCGGCCGCATCGTGTGTCTAACCTGATTATTAACGCGAAAATACATCATTAGCAATTTATATTGGAAAGGGTTGCTTGAGAACTGATTAATTAACAGATCTCCATCCCTGACGCTGTGTAAACTCGAATGATTAACCAAAGGTTATTCGCTGCAATGTAGGCTAAGACTTGCATGTACAAGCAGTATGGCAGTCAAGGAGAGGACGAAAGGTGTGTTTTGCTGGTACACTGGTTTAAACGGGTATACCTCCAAAACTGAACACCTCCACACCTCATATTTTGGCATGACAGAGGCCATGCAGATCAGCTACCAACCTGACCGGTAATACCGGTGATCAGAGCCACACGTTGCCTAGACTCCGCTCCGTTAACGCATTGGGCTTGAGGGTCGACCGAGCTGCTTTGCGCCATGTTTTCAGAGAGAGCTGCAGTGTGTTGTGAATGTCATGTAGGCCTACGCTGTCCTCATGTGCACATTGCATGCGGCATACGCTGAGCAAGCGTATCACTGTGTACGTGGCTGGTGCTTTCATTCACAAGCCCACTGAAGACGGGTCAAACGGTCATCACGTGCTCGGGCTGCAGGTCGTGATTGGTCTTCAGTGTGCATATATAAATAGTTTATCATTTGTTTACCATAATATCAAACATGGACGTGTCGGGGCAAGCCGCGTTCACATGCAGACCTGGGCATTACGTCATGGGGACGGTTGCCGGTTAAAAGGACCTGATATAGTCCCCCGGCCAATGGGGTCGCAAAGAAGACATACCAAGGGGTGGAGCGACAATACCACCTCCATTCAATCTGCCAAAAAATTGTAGTAAACATCAGCTGACGTCCAAAGATTCACTCCAGAGTCGGCATCAATCGCGGGAAAAAACAACAAGCCATCATTTCATTTTCAGCCGGCACTGTGCGGTAACCATGAACGACATCGGTATTAACAAATTTCTGGGACCCCTCGGGTTACACCAATATGCTGATATATTCCAAATTAAAGGATACGATGTGGAGAGTGATTTCTGTACGCTGGATAAAGACGATCTGGACGCCATGAACATCACAGACACCGAGCATCGCGAGACAATACTCCAGGCAGGTTAGTCAGAGAATGTCCACCCATCTCACGCGCATGTTCGTTTTTTTTCTCCGGGTTAGCCATGGCGCTCGCTTCGCCAGCACATGTCTGTATCCTCACAAATTTACGCGCGCCTTTCACCCGAATTTTTTTGGGAAAAATTGTCTCAAACTGACGTCATACTAAACACAGATCTGATTCAGTGACTAGCTTTGAAACTAGGATTTTATTCAAAATAAAATTCTATCTGGCAGACAGTTTATCTCTCCCTACCGTGTACGGTTTTTCCCTGCTCGTCATCATGAAATTTAATGGCAGCCATATTGAAAATATGAAAAGAGGAGATGCATGTTGCATGTTGATGGATAAAAATCCACACATTTCTCCCCTGTACTGTTGTTAGGGAATCTAAAACACAGGCACATCCATCGAGCATTGTCGTGTACTGAGTAGACGTGAATTTTCCGGGTGCGGCGTTAGGAAATACATCGAATTTCGTCTTATGCAAGCGCCCCACAGACGTATAAACTAATGTGTAATGTTGAACCGCTGACCCCAAGCTGACTCGGTTACTATCGACCGAACAGTGTGTTCTTTATGGGCTGGCGTTGCCATCCAACGTTCGCTCCGAAAACCACAACCCCGGACAAGGGTTTTTTTCTGACAAACAGGGTGTAAAAGTTTTGTCGAACGTACCACAGTGGCATATTTTGGGCTAGGGAGCCGTGTGCCAAGTGTTCTCTGAGATGCCTGAAAGTATCTCGAAGTTTGGACGCTGCGCGCCGAGTTTCGGCCACTTCGCGCCGACGCCTCCCACCTCAGAAGTTGATGGCCAAGAGTTTGGAGAGCAGTCCAAACCCTGAATGTTTATCCAACGAATTTTTAAAAATGAGAACGAATTTAATTGGCAATATAGCTTGAATGGAGACGACCATACATATCAATTTTGCTAGCAGGACTTGACGGTCTGGGTCGGTCCCTTTCTGCTGCAAGAGGGGCAACTTGTTTGGGGTGTAGCATGCTTCTCACTGTCTGTGCTACGCACAGTTTTCTCCACTAGCTTTTTCAGGTCGATTCGGATTTTCTTCTGCCAAATAACCCATCTTTTCGGGGTGGAAAAGTCGACCAACAGGTACCCACAGTGCGGTAACGTACAAATAAAGATCCCTGTGAAATTCTCGTTTAAGATTCATTTCAAGTGATGGAAGTTTTGTTAGTCTATCGATGTCTTTTTATTTCACGAAAAACGAGACACTGTGCGCATTTTTCCTTCAAAACGATCAGGCATTGGGCGGCCACGCGCACGGCTTGAAAATACGCGGCAGCGCGCCACTGCATTCAGCTGGCAGTGAGCGGCGAGTGTTGTATGGCTTACCGCCTTCCCCCTTTCCTTCGTTTAGAATCACTTTAAATTATAAGGACAGCTGTTTTGTGGGAATAAAATATGTTCTCTTTAAGTTTCTCTACACTGAAAAGTAGGAGCACAAGGTGTTGATTTTTTCAAATAATAATTAAATGAAAAACAACGAGCAATGCGCTTCGTCTTACTGTCGAACCCGATGTATACTTTTCACGAGTCGTGACCGGTCAATGACCACATACTGCACGTAGGACATGTGCAGGATTAATTTATTCTGGCACACGAGGGTGGGAAATGATGGGTCTGGAATTCTTGGAAATCTACTTTGTCGAGTATTATCTTTCCCTCCTCCTGTATGCATTTTTGTTTCTTTCCGCCTCTGGATTCTCGGAGGCAATTTGCACCGAGAAATTGGACTCAGAACCAAGTTTACTTCCAAAGTTAAATTCAGCCTAGTCTCCTCCGTCAGTTGCTGTTTACTCTCATTCTGATTGCAGGCATTTTCGGGCTGCAAATGCGGCGGTGGTACCCCGAGGTTTATTCTCGGGATGATTTATGTTCATGTAGCTGAGGAGTCCCTCGTTCTGTAAACTTGGAAAGCAAAAACAGGTTCAATTCTCGTTTAACTTCCAAAGATAAGACGCTTGAAGTGGTTGCGATATTATGCAGTTGTGCGAATTAATAAGCGTGTATCTGACGCGTATGACTAGACCGGGAGGACGGGGTTGTCATGTGCTTTCGCCGGTTGTGAACTGACCTTAGTCATGGCCAATGAGAAGCGACTCATGGCGTCATCATCCCCTCCCCAGGACGAGTTGAAAAGTTCACCGTTTACCGCTTTGTAATTCCCTGTCTGGCTGATGCGATCGGAGGGAAGATTGCTGTGGAGGGAGAGACGGGATAAAATTATCGGCGATCGCGCACGGGGACGGTGGCGGCGAAACGGGAAGAGCGAGAGGGGGAAAATGGGGCGGGGTCTTAACGATGACGGTCGGCGAATTTAACCATCACGGCCAGTCGTGGCAAACGTGGGTGAAATGTTCACCGGTCTGAAGGTTTCATGTGGTGCTATGTTGGTGACAAGCTGGACCAATCTCTCGATGTAGTAGTCAGGAGAGTTGCTGGGCAGCCGGCTTATTTGAGGGCAATACAGCAGGCCTATGAGTCATCCGCTGTGCCTTCTTTCTGTTGGCCGCGGCATCGCATCGCAGCATGGCAGGCTTGGAGTCACGGCTCACGACCGGCGCGTGCCGTACAGCTGCGGGCGATCTTTTCTCATCCTCGTCCAGCCAAAAACAAAAAAAACTCCCAAATGAGAAGACAAATAATAATAAAATTAATCTTACTTCACCCGATGGTTTTGAGGCGCAAAAACGTCGTCGTGACCATTCGGCCTGTCGCCGCTAACTTTATTTGGTGTTATTTGCGCATATGCGAAAGGGAAAGATTGAAGGGTTGAGTTGTAAATAAAGGTCTCGCTGCGGTTTGCATTAATATTGCAGGATAGAGAAAAAATGCGCTTTGTTTTTCAGCAGTGGTCCTGCCCAAAGCCTGGGACATCAGGCGTGTGGTTTCAAGCTTACCAACCGCAGACCTTTAAGGAGGGTGGCTGTTGGTTGGTCATTCATTAGATTGCACAGTGTAAGCAAAGACTGAATATTTTAATGGAAAGGCTGAGTTGCGCATCGTTCGGTTCGCGCGTGTAATTCATCGGCAAAGATTTAGTTTGAACTGAGGGCGAGATTGCCCTCCGCAAGGTACTCCCTAAATCAAAACATGCAAGGAATTGATTATTCGCACCACTTTTCTTCAGAGATATTAACAAGTTTGTCCTTACATAATTATTTTTTGCGAGATTACTCAAAGCAGAAGAAATATTTTCGTGTTGCTCTGACATGTGTGTTAAGTATTTGGTTACTTAACCCGTTCCTTCCCTTTTATACCACATTTCCTTGTTCCTTCCTACCAGAAGAATTGTTTGACCTAATGCTTGCATACAGTCATCAATGCTAGGAAGGGTAGGCTGGCTCGCGGATAATGTCATGCTTGGGTCAATGCATGCTATAACGTTCAGGTCGTGGGTCACATGCAAATGCAAACCGGCCGTGGTGATGCGGATGTGCGTTGTGAATCGATTGGAATTGATACAGCCTTCCATTTTTCACCATTTCACTTGGCGAGACGAAATTACCCTTCCAGGTTTCCCCAAGGCAGTTGTTAATTTGTTTTGTTTTGGATTTTACTTTTATGTAAGTCACATTTTGGGAGAATGGATTGAAACTGAGTAAAAATCTCATTTCCGCATGATATTAATTCTCAAAATTGGGTCCAACTTTGAGCTCCCACCTTCAAAATTCGATCTGTATTCCTGTCTCAACAAAACCTGTAACTTGCTTATCACCCTTGATCATAAAAGTTAATGTACACGTGGTGTGTCATTCGCCAAACATAAGCAAAACAATATTAAAATTTTGTGGACTAGCTGAAAATAACCATCATGACATTGATAAAGAAAACCCGAAACAAAAGAATTAAGAATGAAACCAGAGCAAAGGTTCCGGAGTTGAAGCGTGAGACTCTCCAATAGACAGTGTTTTCAAAACGGCATCTAGTGATGAAGTAAGATTCTCTGTGCTTTTCTAACTAAGGTAGTTCCTCACACATTGTGACACCCACGTAGATGCATTGCAACCTTGGTCTGTTGGTTAGAACGGACGATCTGGCGCGTTCCTTGAATGGTCGCTTGTGGATAAGCCGTGAGAGCGAACTGCGTATTATTTCAATGCAGGGAGGGTGAAAAAAATTAACCGGAAAAAACTCAAAGTGTCTCCCTTTTTGGGACTTCTTAGGTGGTGAGTTTGGAAGAGAAGTCCCACAACAGCCGAAAGCGGTGATGCATGGGTTACGGAGGGGAGCAGGTTAATATACCACAAGGGACCAGTTTGGACACTTTTTACAGGAAATGTTTTTGGTTTGTTAGTGGAAAGTACATGTACTCTCGTAATCCACTCTAGTTACTGTACACTCTTCAATGGGTATGCCTGACTTGTTTTAATTGCACGGTCCATATCAACTTAAAAACACTGATGGATTTTTATTCCATAGTTTAGAATTCTTCATCTTAGTTATTCCATTGGTGTTAATCGTGTTGAAGCCTTTTCATTACTACTCATCCCAGGTTTTTCACAATGCAAGGATCGCCTTGAATAAGACGAAATTTTTTTGGACTGCAGCTTGGTGGCGCTATTATTATACATAACATTTATTTGGTTCTGTGGTCTGTAGTCTGGTTCCCAGACCATAAGATTCTGACTACATTCTGACTTAATCCTTGATCGGGTGGCCACAACTGTAATAATGTGACTAGCCTGGGCAGAATTCTGTCCTATTCGGAAATGTGCGACAGAAGTTTTCGAATCAACATTCGTTGATTTTTAGTTATTCCTTTTCATGTCTGTGGATGACTGGTTTGTATATACTGCCTTCGAACACGAACTTCGCCTTCAATCTGGCTGGCGTATATACACGTATCACCTTCAATCTTCTTCAATGACGCCTAAAGATCAGGGCAGAGAACCAGTATATTTGCTCTGTGTCTGCCAACGTTTGACCTGACCGACAGGGGAAGGAATAGGGAAGTGCGCAGGGAAAGTGCGTACATATGTGTAGCTTACTCTCGAGAAAGGGTCCATTGTAGCACGGTTCATTCTCTATCAGGAAGAAAATCACTGACAATCAGTACGTCGATCATGGCTTTTGTCCTTAGCTTGACGCTCTTCTGCAAGAGCCGGTCCCTTCGCTGAGGACGGTTTGGCATCATTCCGTCCCCGTTATACATGGGCATAATATCACCCTCCAGCATGTATACCGTTTGCCTGTTTTATCATTCATGGTTGACATCATGTGGGAACCCACTGCAGCAAGGAAAGCTGGATTACGTTGAGCTTTAAAGTCAATGCACCTGAATTATTCTTTTTAGTATACATGACTGTAATTTATGGTAGTTTTGCAACGACTGCACATGAAAATGTAACGCCATTAAAGAAATCTCAAGAGGGCAGAACTTATCACAACAGAGCTTGACATTTGGGAAGGGGTTGGGGAACAGTGAGTTGAAGCAAGAGAGAGGGAACACAAATAGCAGAGAAAGATAGAAACTGGAACAAGGATTGAAGGAAAGTGGAACAGATGTAATTCGAACAAAATATTCAAAGCACTTTGATATTTCGTTCCCCCTTTCACGGATCATGTGTCTTTTTTTTTCTCCCATCCCACATGCATGTCGTCATGATAGCCACTCACTACAAGCCCTCGGAGGAGTTTGAGGTGTTCCAGTGGCTTCGCGATAACGGCATCGACCACTACTTCGGCAACTTCATCCGCAGCAACTACACGAACCTCCGGCAGGTCTCAGTCATGGAGCTGACGGCCGACGTTCTTCACGAGCTGGAGGTGTTGCTGCCCGGCCATCGCAAGAGGCTCAGGAACGCACGTGAGTTACGGCTCCTGTTCTTTCCGTGGACGTTAGCCCCATCCACCGGTGTATAGTCACGGGTGCTGGCAAAACTGTCTTAGCAAATCCCTCAAAGTAATCTGGTCAAATGAGTATGCATTTTACCCATTGCCACCAGAAGCCCATTTAATGTTTTTTTTTTACCCGAATCTGCCCCTTTTTCTCAGTTTTGATATCACACTTCTTATTTGATACGCTTAACAGGTACAGGCGGTCTAACTGAAGTTTATGGAGTATGTATTTCGTGACTATAATGTAATAAAGTTTCTATAAACTGTGGCAGAATACAACAGTTATTTTTCACAAATATACACGATATACGCGCATGCGTGCAGATTCGTTATGTATCATGCAAGACAACTTGCAGCAGGAGACCCCCCACAAAATGGACCTTTACAATACGGATGTCTTCTAGTGTAGTTGTCGAACAATCAATCTTCCTTTCGCTTTCCTCACCTAGGCCTACAACCTCGATCTACTAACACGGAGATATTAACATTCGGTGCACTCAGTAGACATCATACGGGTACGCTCGCTCACAGCTCTGCGCTTCTTCTTCGTCGAACGGATTTTTCTGAAGTAGTTTGACTCGCGTTTACCCCACGGAGTTTGTCGTATTATGAGTTACAACATTACCCCGGGCAGCGCTTGACGTGGAAGAAGTGTAAGAAAATGGCTCCTGGCAACATGCCACCTCGCCTGCCTGTCCTTGCCAGCGTCCCCCTATGGTTTCCGCCAGTACCGGCCAAGGCCGATGGCCTTGCCTTCCATTCAACACGCGTGCATGCCTATCGTAATCATTTTTTAGTCTCGATTCTTTCTACACATTTGACAGAAAAGGGAAACTCATACTGTTCTTACATGTGTTACCCTGACTTCTCCATGAGGCCATGTTGCCAGGCTTTCGGCAGCGGTTTCAATCTGTTGACCTCCCCGCAATAACCCTTCTTGAAGGGATACATTTTAGCAGACGTTGCGGTACCGTCACGGTCGCTCTTCGGCGTGGAATGGAGAAGTGCCTCGTTATGATTGATGCGTGCAGACAGGATGGTCTCAAAACTGGTCCTTTTGTGTGGCATTTATGTTTTACGGCATTCAGGCCAAACGTGACATTTAATATAAAACAAATGCCCAGTGGTGATAGCTGTATTTTTGTAGCACACCCTAAATATACATGACTTTGTGCACGCACTGGAAGACAAAGCAGGAAAAAAGGAAAATTAATCTTGAAGGGATAAGAGCTCGAGGATATTAAATGAAACTAGACAGGGACATTATGTGCCGCTGTGTCGGGCATTCACGATTCGTGTGGAATTCGAGCTATGCTTCCTTTCTTTTTCTTGCATTTGTGATCTTGTCATACGATCTTGTCTTTGTTCTTTGTTTCGACCCAACGAAACTACGAGTGCGGAGCAAACAGACCCATAAGAAAAAATCTTGCCCATGGTCCTCGGCAACCTGGATGGAATATTCAAAATCGCCCGACCCCTTCAACAAAATTGTATTACAAAATACGTGGAAATGTTGCTTGTGGTTTTGACCGGCTGTGCATTTTTATTAGTACACAACATTCTGGGGATGCACCATGTACTTTCCTATGGGAAAATTGTCTCATTGCCAGTCTTGAAAGAAGATATTTCTCACGGCCCTTGGAAGATTCTCCTGTTGAAATGTCGGACGTAAAAAAAATTATCCAAGCCACCATTATAACCTTCATTAAAGTTGAGTTTCCCAAGCGTGTTGTGTAAAAACAAAAACTCTCAGCCCGGCTGTCCCACACGACGCGACGGTACCTGCCGAATTTCACACGTCACGACCTCTGAACCCTTCCTAGCATCACTTAGAACATAACAAGGTGGTGCCTGTTCTGTTTGCATGCGGGTAAGTTTTAACTAACCCGGCCAGACAAATTGAAGCTTGTGTGGACACGGTGCCCGGTGTATTTAGTTCGCAGACAGGAAGCATTCCGAAATTCTGCAGTCGAGAGTACATGTTAGGGAGTGTGTGCCATGCATGCTTTGATGTTGCTATAGGGTCTTTACTGTTCTTTCTAACCCGAGTGTGTAAGGGTTACCACGAAACAAAAAGTACAAAAGTCGCTAAGGTAAACACAAATAGATTGTCATTCCTGAGACTAAGCGATTATTATTTTAAATAGCGTTTTGGCTGCTGCCATCCAATTTGTTTCCCAAACATGTGGAGCTGAAAATGTCGATGTTCCACTTTCCACTCATTGAGGATCCATACTTTTGATCTCCCCTTTAATCGTTTTCTTCAAAAATGAAAAAAAATTACCATTTACAAAACATCTCACCTGGACGTTAGGTTAAGTGTGAAAAAACATATCGTGCCTTATAACGGAGGCTAATATCAGTTTCTTAATCTGAAAATAATTTTAGAAATCTTAAAACGAAAGTCAAACTCTCCAACTGAGCCGAACCCATTTTGACTATCACGGACCCGTGATATGAATAGTGCTGTTATATTTCGCTGTTGAAAGTTAGTGCTCTTCCCAGAAAAGGACGATTTAAAAATGGCCGATAATTTTATTCTACAACACGTATGACTCAAAGTACTGTATGAGCTAGTTATCTGTTTTGATGAGTGTCGTTAGTAATTACCAGACTTTCCGCCCCCAAAAATGACACAAAAAAGATTGCACTACTCAAAACAAATAAAGCTTCACAACCTAAGCTCTGGTCAGATTCAAATAAGAATTCCAGAGATATGTAATACAAAACTGCTGCCAACTGCTTGCTGACTACAGTGACCTAAAATACAAATCACAAAAATGGAGGGCTTGACGTTTCCATCCTAGCAGAATCTTTCTCAAAGGCAAAACCCTTGAGAAAGATTATGCTAGGATCGAAACGTCAGGCTTCCATAGTTTGTGATTCAGATTCAAAGAAGGTAAAAATGTTCACAACATGCTATATTGGACGCTTTTCCAGTATTCGACACCAAATATGGAATAGAAACTTCGATATTAAAATTGAATCGTCCCTCCGCCTGCGCCGCTGGGCCAGCATGCGTCAGCAGCGTTGTTAACTGACGCTTATGTTGTATCATGCATGTACTTTCACTGTTGCTTTACTGTAAGCGGGAAACAAGGATGGATTTTGAATTTCCAATTTCTCAGAATTTATATTTACACATAGTGAAAGTAAACACACTTGTTGGGAAAATTGTCCCAAAGAATTTTTGTCACAATTTTGTTTAAATTTTACTTTGCAATTCAGTTTGATTTTTTTTTGAGAATCAGGGATTAGCTCTCTCGCTATACTGTATGAGACGGTCAGTTACTTTGACTTGTCCCCAAAGCCCCGGTTTGGGCCTGTCAGTCTTCAACCAGTAACATTGAAATTGAGCTCCGAAAGCCGTCAAGTTGAAGATTATGCTGGTTCATCAGATATGCATCTGAGTACTTTCAATGTACACTTGTTCAAGCCCTGTTAGTTTACACTATGTAATGAACTTATTCTTTCTCAACCGTCAACACTATACAGAAGGTATTCAGTTACCACATTTAACTCGCTGATCCTTGTCAATGTCTGTTTCGACGGTCCGTATGCAGATCACGACGGTGTTGTTTTACCCATTCATTTGTCTGTATGCCATGTTAATTGTAGGGTGGTTACCAATAAGACTGACGTCAAGTATGAGGTCATGTCCAGTATTCCCTTCATTTTTAGATGTAGTGCGCACACGTCCATTAGTTTCATCAAAAAAAAAATTATAAAAAGCCGGCATGAGGAATATTTTTGAATTGTGATTCATATTGAAAAATGTGAAAATAATTTCCTCGGAGCCCCATACTATGTTCATAGTACGTTGGTGTCTATCTTTATGTAGTTGTTTGTTTTTGCTTTAAAAATTGTAATTTACATTGAGCAGTTACTTTTTATGCCATGACAAAGCCCCGGTATAATTAACTTCTTTTGATCCTGATTCCATCTACATGTAATGTTGTCTTGTTCGACATGGTATGTAAATTTGGGTGCTCTGATAAGGGACAAAAATATCACTTGAACAGAATTGAATGTCTTTGCTCCATTGCATCGCAACAATGCTCGATGCTTACAACGCAGTATGCAGTTGGGGCAAAATGAAGTTTACATACATCACCTGGTAGGACAAAAACAGTTTCCTTGAATGTCCCGACTTAACTCATTCCTAACAACTTTTCTTTTCATAAGGATAGGTAAGATGGGTCTCTACTTAATGTACATTGTGTGTGCATAAAAAAAACACCCACAGATATATGTGATTCACATATATATATATACAAAAAAAATAAAATTTAACATACTCCAGCTCTAATTTTTAATGCCACTTTCTGCATTTTTTGTCATATCTCATAGTTGCATTGGACCATTTGTTGAAGCGTTTTTGAACAACAAAGGGGTAGATGTAAATTTTCACAAAGCGATATTTCAGAAATATTAATATTTTGAACCCTAATAAATGTCTCTGAGTATTTTCAATTGAAGTGCACACTGTGATCATTAAGTTGAGATACAATTTGTCTGACCTTGTAAAGAAAAAGTTGGTAAACCTATTTCAAATAGCGAAAAAAATTGAGGAAACCTGTTTTCTACCAACTTGTAAACTGTTTGCCCCAACTGTACATATAAGCGTTTTATGCATTTCCTATGATAGACGTTTGTAGTTATTTTTGCGTCACTAAGGAGAATGTATTTCTTTTCCCACTCGTCTGTGCTGAAACCAGTCTTAACACTCAACACCTTTTGCATAAAAGGACCACAGTCGGTTGTTATTCAAGAAGAAAAGCTCAGCCAAAATAAACTTTGTTGTATGACGCAATACGCTGATGGAGACTTCTAAACCACTTCAGATTTGAAATAACGTAAAAACACGTATTATTACCCATGTATTGTTTGACAAATCTGTCTCAGTGTGCACTTCGCCTCGTTCAAGTTCACCCATAGGCCTAGTATTGCGCACCGTTATTATGCATA